ATAAGTCCACTAGAGTTTACATCAAGAGCAAGAACCAAAACTTCAGCATATGGGAGTGTTTAGGAGCTGTTAAAATTTTGTTTTCTGAGTGTCTTCACATTAAGTCTTACAAATTACAGACATGGTCGGGCTGTAAAGATATGTGTGGGTTTGGTTTATTTGTTTGCTTTAAATTTTGCTTTTGTTGTAATTGGTGTGTGTGTGTGTGTGTGTGTGTGTGTATATGCACTTGTGTACCATTATGTATTGTTGTGAATGTATCCTTTTAAAAGTAAATCTACAGTAGCTTTTTTTTTTTCTTGCAAGGTGTGCTAGTCTACTAGCTCTTGATTGATTAAGGTTTTGTTTTGTTTAATTTTGTTTTCCCTAAATCTTAGAAGAGTTCAATCTTGAACCCTTTAAACTGTTCTCTATCATATTAGAAAACTAAGACCCTACCAGAAAATTTTTTTTGAAATCACCATATTCTGTGTAATTATAGTTATATGGCATATTTTTCCTTTAAAGCATTTAAACCACAATGCTCAAACTCAAATATCTTTTTAATCTAATGATATATGGTAATACAATTTTTTTAAAACCTGAATTTATCCTTACAAATATATAATTAAATAATATCCACTGGAACTTATGGGTTCATCCTGTGGATGACCACACACAAAAATATCCAAGCGTGGCATGTTCAGTATCCGCTAGGAAATAGGTAGCATTGTCAAAGGGTGGCTGATGAGAGTTTAAAAAAGGAACTGTTTACACATAATCGCAAAGTTAAAGGAAACCAACAAGGTTGGGAATGCAGCTCTAGGCTAGCAATAGTGGGAATCTTTTCTGCCCTTGACCTGGAGGGATGAGGAGAGAGAACAAATACCCAAACCCAGAAAAAGCCATGATTGTAGCTTTGGGAAAGTCAGAACTGTGGCCTTCATAGCTGTGGCTTTCCTAGAGGAAAGATGGCCACTGCCAATCTGTGACTTGGAGGAGGGCAGTGGGAAAGATCATGCTCTGAATCTTTCCTCATATTCTTACTCCCATAAGCACTAACCATTGTTCAAACTCTACCAGAAGCCAAAGGACATGGTAGCCCATTGGTTACAGTGCACTGGAGGATTGTCTCCTGGGCCATGGACCCAGAGCTAAAGGGAGAGGGCCGCTCCAGAGGGTCAAATAGAAGGCATAGCACTGGTGACTCTCCCCTACGAGAAGACCTATTTATTGTGTTTTGTGGGTTTGCTCCCATTTGCTAGAATTGCATGCTCAGTGAGAAGGAAGGATAAATGTCTCCATATCTAAATGAAGAAGTGAATCAGAAACTAAAATGATGACTAAAATGATCTGCTGTCCCCTTTCCTGCATTGTAGGCTTATGCCTATGATCCTGTGTCTTAGAAAGTAGACAGCAATTTTTGTGTGACAGCAGAACACAACAGACATGGAAATTAGAGCCTTTTTGAGAAATACCCAGAAATAATATGTTTAATTGACCCACATGAATGACTTTGCTATCTAAAAATGTGATGATTATTAGATAGGTATGGTATAAAGTTACAAGCACAAATATTTGCCCTTATACTGAGCTGTTTATAATTACTTATATTTGTACTTTGCTAAGGATAGTAAGTCCTGAAGCATTTGGTAAAATATGGGAGACAATCATAAATTGGGAAAATACTCTTTCTTAGCAGGATACCAATATTCTGCAGGAAAATGGTTGGAGAATCCCAAGAAGAGAGAAAAAAGTCGCTCCCTGTTCTAAACTCTTAATTGGAGAGGCAGAACAAAAAACAACCCCCACTCCCCCACACACATAATTTTTTAAAGCATAGTCAATGAAAAATGTATTTAATTGCATCCATCAAAAGATGTGTTACAGCCAACAGAGAGGTCAATTTTGATTGACCTTAGAGGTTTCCTTTAAAAAGCAATGTCTAAGAAGTTTCTTATGTGAGATTTGAAATAACACTTTCTCCACCTTGGAATGATTATTGGCCTTCCAAGTACTGACCTTGAATCCCTGCAATTTCAAGTCATTTGATGAATATCAAGTTATGTTCAACAGATTACATTTACCAAACTATAGTAGTGGCCTATAGTAGTGCTCTTATCAAATATATCTGCAATTTGAACCACCCATAAATATAATATATGATTCAGAGGCAATCTAAAACACTTCAGAATAGAAAAAACTATAAATATCCTAGAAAGGACCATGCAGAGCTTCAGGGATGCAAGCCTGGAAGGAAAGCTTCAAGGTCTTGGACCATGTTCTGTTGCTTGATGTGTTTGAAGGTGAGATTGCATCTGCTTGTAAAGTTACCAGACTGTATGATATGTGCAGTTTTATTTATGTAGGTTATAGTTTAATCAAAAGTTAGGTGGAGCCAGATGTGGTAGCACATGCCTGTAGTCCCAACAGCTCAGGAAGTTGAGGCATGAGGATCTTGAGTTCAAAGTCAGCCTCAGCAACTTGGCAAGGCCCTAAACAACTCAGTGAGACCCTGTCTCTAAATAAAATATAAACAAAAAGGCTGGGGATATTGCTCAGTGGTTAAGCACCCCCTAGGTTCAATCCCTGGTACCAAAAGGGGGGGAAAAAAGTTAGGTATTGGGTATATGCACCTGTGTACAGAGTAATCACTTTCCCAGTCTGTCTTCAAAGTAGCCTATGGCTACCCTGCTTTTGAGATACTTTTGATTTAGTTCTCCCCTGTCAAAGGAGATAAAAGGTTAACAGCTTAAAAGCAAATACACAGACCTAGAAAAGAAGACCAATATAATCAATTTTAGGACTTAGTAGTTCAAGAGCTTTGGGTTAGCACCCCTGAAAGCAGAGTTCAAGGAACTGAAAACTGAGTCTTTTGATGGTGACTTTATTTCCTCAAAAGCAGTTAATTATGTTATGTATATTGTTACAAGGCTGGTGAATCTTTAGAAACCTTCTACAAAGATTAGTTAAAATAAAAGATTAATCACTTAAAGGTAAACTTTTTACAAAATTAAGCCTTCCCCCAATGTGGTGAAAAACAGGGGTATTATTGTCCTGCCTTTTAGGGGTATTCTTTTGGCTAAGCTGTGTTTAAACAGGAATTCAATTTAAACAAGTCACCACATTTCCAAATCATTCCATGTAATCAACGCTTTACTTAATGTGGAATCACTCCGAAGTGAATTTTGATTGTAAAGAGACATTATGTACCGATTGCTTCACAAACAATTGGTATGATCAGAACCAGGTAGACAGAAAAGCAAAATGTTAGAGCCAGAAGATCCTTAGAAATCATTTGACTTAGTCCTTCCACTTTACAATGGAGGAAACTTAAGCACAGAGAGGTTGATCCAATTTCCCCAAAGCACATAGTTAATTATGTTATGCCTGATTTACAACCAGACTTGAAATGTTCTCACTTGATAATCTGTCCCCTTCACTCAACTTACCTACAAAGGACAAAGGGCTGGAGTCAGACCCACTTGGGTTCAAATATTAGCTCTTGGATTTGCCAGCTGCTTGTGACCCTGGGCTCTGATGATAGATCCTACCCTGACAGAAAATAATGCCTGGGCATTCATTTGAAAGATACAGACCAAGGGAGGAGGAGAACTGGAGGCTTGTTAACCTCTCTCTTCAGGAAAGAGATGGAGAGACAGGAAGGTCTCCATGGTGGAGACTCTTGAAGCCTGTGGCCATCTCAGCCTCTGGGCCTGACTGCAGGTGGTACACTTTGCTTCTTTCTACCTGCAGAAGTGCTCTTCACCCTGGGATCATTGGTGTGGCATTTGGCTGTGATCCCTTCTTTTAATAGTCCAACTAAAGATGTCGTAGAGCATGGTTTGTACTCCATGTCACTGAGTTCTGGAGCCTTTTGTGGGCTTTCTGCAGTGCTGTTTGCAACTGAGTATAGAATCCTGCCATGGGAGGTAGACAGTGACAGGGCTCCCCTAAACCACTGTTGTGGGAAGGAAAAGTCAGCATCTAGAAGTGTAAAGTAGGCACTTAATGGATGTTGTATGCCACTATCGTTCATCTAAAGCACAGCCTTGCTTTTGGCATTGTCCAAGCAACGATGTCCAAGAACTTTGACCTCTTAGACAGGTTTCTTTTTAGAGTGTGCATTATGTAGAAATGATGGCATTGTGCCAGGCGCTGTGGCACACACTTGTAATCCCAGTGGCTTGGGAGGCTGAGGCAGGAGGATCACAAGTTCAAAGCCAGACTCAGAAGCTTAGTGAGGCCTCAAGCAACTTAGTGAGACCCTGTTTCAAAATAAAAACTAAAAAGGGCTGGGGAGGTAGCTCAGTGGTTAAGCACCCCTGGGTTCAATCTTCAGTGCTCCCTCCACCCCCCACCCCCCCAAAACAAGAAGAAATGATGGCATTGGTAAAAGTAAATGCTAGACAAAGAAAAAAGATAATATTTGTTTAGAAACTCAATCTAGTTGGAGCTCTCTGTTGATTCATAAAGAGATAAATATGTGATCAAATCTTAAATTTTTTCAAGCCTGAACTTTGGGTTGAAAGAGGTAAGATCAAGCTCCTGCTCCATCATTAATAGAATATGTCAGAGAGGAGGTGGGATGTAGCTCAGTGGTAGAGTATGTGCTTAGCATGCATGAGAGCCTGGGTTCAACCCTAGCACCAAAAATAAAAACAAAAACAAAAAAGAAAAGAAAGAAAAGGGATCAATGAACAAATTTTCAGACCATAGTGAGGCTCTGTGTCCTCATCTTTAAAACAAGGTTTTAAGTTGGTGGTGCTCACCTATTGTTCCAGCTGCTCAGAAGGCTGAGCAGGAGGATCACTTGAGCCCAGGAGTTTGAGACCAACCTAGGCAACATTTAAAAAATTAAAAATACAAATCAGTGAAATGAGGCTGATAATAATACTCACTCAGCAGGTAGTTGTGGAGCTCAAGTGGGAAAAAAATACACATGAGCAGGCAAAAATCTTTGTTAGAGATGAATGTAAGGTGTGGAAATCCTAAGCAGATGTGTTTTCCTCTCTCTCCAGTTTTCATCTTGCAGCTACAAAAGGACACGTGGAGTGCCTCAGGGTCATGGTTGCCCATGGTGTGGACGTGACTGCCCAAGACACTACCGGTATGTGGGGTTTTACTCTCTTAAGTCCATAATTTGTCAGCGTGAGCATAGGTATTACAAAAGTTTTATTTTCATTGTGCAAAATTTAGAGTCTGCAGATAGCCAAAAGAAGAAAGCAGAATCACCTTTGATGGCTAGGCTATGGTATGGTTTCATCATCTGTCTGTGCCTCTTGTGTTTTCATCTGCTGTGAGCTTAGTCAACTAGAGAACTGTGTGCTTCCTATCTCTCTTTTTTTTTTTTTACATTATTTCCTAACACTGAACATATGGGGCAAGCAATATTCCCTAGTTTTTGTTTTTATGAATTACATAATAATATGAAAATGAAGATCTTCACCCCTTACTTACTTCAACACATCCAAATTATCTGGGACTTGGAAGGAAGGGAGGAAGGAAGAAAAGGAAAGAGCACACAGTATACACATAACCGTATACATATATACCGATGCTCTCTAAGATTCAGATTCCCTTGTCTAGAGTTTTCCAGCCAACTGGATTTTTTTTTTAAAGCTCCCCAGGTGATTCTAATGTGAAACTAGTGTTGACAAATGATGAACAGGACATATGGAAAGAAGAGGTAGTGTAGTCTAGTTTTTTATAAGCTTTGTTCTCTGGGAAAGAGCCCCTGAAGTTTCCAGCCTGGGATTCCGCCAGTGATGGTCCTAAGAAAAGACCAAAGCAACTAATGATTTTTCACCGATTACACTGGGAAATCTTTGGTTTCTAATACCTTTTTGTTATTTTTTACTGGAAAACAAAATCAAGCTAATTCCAGTCTTTATCTAGGCTTTTCATTAACCTGTAATGGATCCTTTACATCCTTCCCCAAAATTAGTCTCTTCAGAGTAATTAATCATCTTGGGAAATCAGTCACGTATTGCAAGAATGCTGTTATTACTCATAACATACCTAGGAAACGTATGTTTCAGAAATGTTTTCAAAGTCTGTGGCATTTAAAAGAAAATAATCTCAGTGGTTGGTGATCTTTAATCTATGAGAATAGTTTTTTTTAGGACAGGCCAAGAACTCTTGAAGTCATGTAAGGTGAATGACACATCAAACTGGTAAAACCATTTTTGGTCAAAAACAGGGAGAGACTGAAGTAACAAGATTTTCCTGAGCAGTTCTACAGATCATTCCAAAAAAGTATTTTGAGAAATAGTAAAACTAGTAGCAGATTAATAGTTTTTCTAAGTGACTGCCTTGAGGGGAACACTAATTTACACTACACTAATGAAAGTCATCTTTAATTTCAAGATCCATTCTGTTTGTCTTACTTTTAAAGTTATACCACATAAACACAGCACAATAAGTCTGGCTAACAACCCTTACCTCTAATGAGGTATTTGACTTCTTTAAGTAGAGGAGGTTTCCTCTTTCAAAAATTCATAATCTAAAAGAACTAGCTTATAGTAAATACACTGGCATGTGTCAAATAGTTCTGTTTTATTGTATTATTGTTAGGAAACAGATTAGAAAGGAATTCTCTATCAGGACTAAACATCTTCCCTCACTTCTTTTTATTATAGGGAAAAATAAGTTCCTTTAGTAGATGTTCATTGTAGAAAACTTGGGGAGTACAGAAAACTGTAAAAAAGGTAACTAGTGCTTCTACTCCTATCAGAAAGAAAAATGTTACTGTGTTTTTCGTTTGTTTCTTTGAAATTTCCTTATAGATTCTGCCTAGCACATTTTTACATAGCTGAGAGTATATTATACAGTAAATTTCTATTTCTGTTTTTTAATTTAGTATTGTATTGGTACATTTTACCCCCATTAAAAGCTTTTATGGAGCTTATTTATTTGTGGCCACATTACACTATGCAGGTGAATTTGCCATCAGAACCCTAACTTGGTTTCTAGGATCTGGTTCAGTATAAGCAGCAAGTCCTGGATTCCTCAGCTCAGTGTCAACTTCCTTGCAGAGTGAATGGCAGGATCCCCAGAGAAGGAACACTATAGATGGTGCTCAGATCCATCCCGGATGCTTCTCAATGCTGGTCGGTGGAAACTGAAATTGGTCAATCTGCTGGGTGTAGCGGCACATACCTATAATCCCAGTGGCTTGGGAGGCTGAGGCAGGAAGATCAAGAGTTCAAAGGCAGCCTCAGCAACTTGGCAAGGCTCAGCAACTAAGTAACTCAGTGAAACCCTATTTTTAAAATAAAATGCAAAATAGGGCTGAGTATGTGGCTCAGTGGTTGAATGCCTCTAAATTCAATCCTTGGTACCCACTCACCCCCACCCCCACCCCCACTCAAAAATAAAAGGAAAAAAGAAAGAAATTGATCAATCCTAGAACTCTGTGGCCCTGGGACATTGTCCATATGTTCCATGGGATGGGAAAGTCTCAGAGTTTCCAATCTCTTACCTGTCATCTGATACTCTTTGCCATGAGGCCAACAGACTTCATGGTTTTACTTTGGATTGAATGAGGCACCAGCTACTTCTGATGATTTCTAGAAAGTGCAGAGAGACCACCAGAACAAAAGAAGGAAAGCACTCTATGGTTAAGAGTATGTGGGAGTGGGTAGCTGTTGCAGTAACCAGGGCAACCCTGTTCCAACTTTTTCCACCATAGCAAACAAGGTAAATTATGATGGGCTTTTATTGCCTATGCTGGCAATAAAAGCCCATCTTTTATTGTCTTTGCTCTTGTCTTGACTGTCATGGCTGATCCCTAACTCTTTCTCTCTAAAGATGCATATCTGAATATAAGGGAAGAATGAGGACATAAGTCACACTGTGCCTTAGTGGTCATCAGTAGTCCAAAATATTCTTTACAGTTAGAGGATAAATTAATTGGCTCAGCACTGACAGGGAAGGTCTTTTCGGTAAAACAGCCTTATATATTGCCACATTATTACTGAGATGCAGGCATCTTCAATCTCAAAACCTTGTTAGAGCTGGTACAAAAACCTGTTACATTAATCACACTGTCCTATAGGGTTTTGGGGGGGAGGGCCTGGGTAACCTTTGAAAATATATTTTACTGACCCCTTTTGTCTTTTTTGTCCACAAAGTCTAAGGATGGTCAAATTGGTACAATTTTTCTATGTTTAAAACTACTGACCAGGTGTAAAGAATTAGGAGCAAAGAACTTCTAGTGTCTTTATCTATCTATTTATTTATTTATTTTAGTTATCTTTCTACATGAAATGCTTGGAAATTTGAGAAGTTTTAATGGGTGGTTTGCAGTCAAATTATGAGCAGAACACTATCATAAGATAAACTTGTGGATAGTTATAGGACAGCATCAATAAGCATATTAGGTACCTTTGGAGACTTCAGTGAGATGGTCAGTATGGGCATCTTAGAGGTGCTGGGCACATACAAGTGCATTTGGCTGCTAAATTTTCATGATTATTGCTCCTTCAACCAGATCACAGATAATGTTTTACTCTTTCAGCTATTGAAAAGGTTCAGATCTTGGGGGCGGGGAGGGAAGAGAAAGAAAAGATTTGACATTCACCACTCCAAGTGTTTTCATTTTAAATTTCATTTTAAAAACCAAGAAGGAAAAGCCCAAAGACTTACAGAAGACTGTCCTTGTGTTTTGTTTTTGGAGGGTTGTCCCTGTTTCTTAATTGCTTGTTTGCCCAACAGTACATATTAATCAGGTAGAGAGGTTAGGTCATGGACCATCCATGAACTGGTCCCGTGTTATTTTCTTGCACCCGTTCTTGTTCTTCACTGATATAAAATTGGGAATTTTATCTTTTTTTTTTTTTTTTTTAAGAGAATACTTCTGGACAAAAAGCAAAACTGATGCCAAATTTTTTTGTTTTGTTTTGTTTTGTTTTGTTTTTTGGATGCCTGCACTTAACATCCTGGGGTAAGAAATAGAATTAAATAGATGTAATTGCCAGAAGATTGAAGAAGACCAAAGAATCTTCTGTTTATTATCAATACTTCTCTAAAGCTTTGAGACTCCATTAATAAGCATATGCATTTGACATGTGACAGAATCCAAAATAAGAGTTGCTTGAACATCAGAATTTTATGTCTGTCAATAGAAAGTCCCAGATTGGTGAGGCAGCTCTGCTCCACACCATGAGGATCCAGATTCCTTTCTGCTCCACCAACCAGGGTCTTTCTGTGATCCCAATGACCAAGATGGTTCCCTGGGAGTCTGTACCCCAGTAGCGTCTGGGTTAAGGCAGGCACAGTCCTTAAACGCACACACCTATTTCTCCTCAAAGCTCACTGGACACAACATGGACTTGGCCACATCTGGCTATATGAGAAGCAGGGAAATTCTGGGGAGCAATTTTTCTAGTTAAAAATCAAAGGTGTGCTACAGAAGGAAATAAAAGCAGATTAAATGATTTGCAGTTTCTATCACTCACATATCTTAAATTATCCCTGATTCCTTTGCCCACTTGACTTTCCTGATGAAGATCTAGGGGATTTAGAAGCTGAGGTTTGAAAATGTAAGTAAGGGTCCTTAGTCTTTGCATCTCCAGTTGCTGGTTTAACTTTTATGATTTCTGGGTTGCCTTCTGTTCCATTATGCCCTCTATATATTGCCACTCAATTTTGGCACTGTGTGAAGACACAAAAGATAATTTCATCTTAAAAGTCAGGGAATTTAGACCAGAGACATCAAAAAATGTGCTGTTTATGTGTAATAAGAATTGAATTGCATTCTTCTGTCATATATAACAAATTAGAATAAATTTTTTAAAAAACCTCAGGGACTTTAGATCATGAGGCACTCTGAAGTGTAGCTGCATGTTATACCAAAGTTCATATGTTAATTTGAAATAAAGGAACACCAAAAAGGTTGGTATGATTCAGGGTACTTGACTTGCTATTTATTCATGTATACAGGGAGGTCACAAGGATCACCTGTGCATAAGGCTGAGCATAACCTGGCCTTGAAAATATTCCACATGATACACACAGGCAAAAATATCTTTTGATTCTATGTAAAGCACTGCAAATTTATATTGTGCTTTAAATATAAGGGGAGACTAAGGAATAATTTTTTAACTTTAATAGTAAGAATAAATATTATAAATAAATCTTTTATAATCTGATCTTCTCTCCTGAGAATATAACAATGTGCATGGACTTGTGCTTCCGTGATAAAAATTTGATTTACAGATAAGGATTTCTAAGAGTAATGTCATTAAATGTATTTAAAGTTGTTAATAAGAACTAGGGCTGTGGATGTGATTCAGAGGTAGAGTGCTTGCCTAGCATACACAAGGCCCTGAGTTCAATCCCCAGCACCACACACACACACACACACAAAAGAACTAAATACTCTTATAATTTTATTATTTAAATTTATTCTGTATTCTGAAACTATGGTTTTTAACAAATTATTTTAAATCTTATCTTTATAGTTGAGTATCATTTTGTTGTTATTATGTCTAAATATTTTTGTATTATGTGCAGAAACTGTACTATCTCAAACTTTGACTTTTTGGTATTAGTTAGCCATATCTAAATATCACATGACTTCCTCAGTCTTAAAATATATACATGCTCTTGAGAAGTGTGGTCTTAGTCCCCTCAGTTATTCTTCCGGTACATTAATTATCTCTTCCTTGTTTTTTTCCAGCATTGAATAAATGTTCACTGTTTGAAATAGGTTAGAGGAAGGTGTTCCATAGCAGGGGTAGCTGAGCCTTCCTGCTTAAAGCCTCTTTCAATAATGGGACTCTTTGGCATCCTGTCATACTCCAGTAGTCTTGATTTTTATAGCATTAGTCTTTTTGCTTGTAGGCAAAGTTCTGCGGCTATACACCTGAATTAGGGTTGCCTTTGTTATCTGTCTGTAGGGAAGTTGCTTCCTGGCATTCTATATAGGTCCACAGCTCTCTGGGAGCCATTCTTATGCATTGTCCCCTTACAATGAGGTTCTATAACTAATAGAATATAATATATTCTGTCCTGGAAATTTTGCATTGGAAAGGAATTTTGTTTTTAATGTTAGCAATGAAAAACATTTCACTTCAGTGTCCAGAGAATGATTTTTCATTTAGATTTTGGACTATTTCTTTTTCTTTCTTTCTTTCTTTCTTTTCTTTCTTTTTTTTTTTTTTTTTAATGGTGCTTGGGATTGAACTCAGGGCCTTAAGCATGGTAGGCAAGCACTATACCACTGAGCTATATCCCCAGCTCTTGAAAAATGCTTTAATGCTGCTAGTTAGAAAAGCATATCACTTAGCCAGGAATATAAGAATTTTTGCTTCTCTAGAAACACAGTGTTCACATCTAGGTATGATCAGAACACTGGAAGTTAAATGAAAGTCTAATTTTTCTGCTATGATGTATTGTTTAAATGTCCCTACCACATTGTCTTTGGAGAACGTATGCCTTTTTGAAGTGGGTGCTGTTTGTGTAGAACAGCTTTTTTTCATGGCATGGACAAAAGCTTAAATGTACTACATAAACAAGTCTCCAACTTACAATCAGGACGTGTTCCAAAAGTTCATTTGTAAGGCATTTGTTTAAAATTCAGAATGTGCTTGTCCTTAGAAACAATGTATAAATGATGGCTGGGGAGTCCAAGCTGGCCCACTAAAGCCTATTTAATGCATAATGTAACTAAAGTCGTGCTATTATGCTTTATTCATCTTGGGGAGGGGTGTCTTGTGCAATAAATGAGGGCGAAGAAGAGAATATCTTCATCTTCCTACTTTCAAGGACCTCTTTCCTCTTATTTCTTAGCCTCCTTCATCCCCATCCTTCTGGAGAGGGGCTTCTGCCTTGTGGTATTCTACCCCAACTAATAACACCCCTCATGCATACCATTAAGAGCTCTTAGCACCTCTACTGAGGAATAGAAGGGATCTGTTCTTTTGAAGTTACAGACTTTTGTGCAGCTCACCATGATCCTATGACCCTCTGATCTTAAATATGGTGTTTTCTAGCCATGTGATCCTCTAATTAGTAAATTCTGATTGGTTTTACAGAATGCACATCATTCCAAAAGGGGAACAGTATTTTGGAACTGCATCACCATAAAAAAGAAATTGTCTCTCTAAACAATTGGTTCTCAGCTGGGGATGATTTTGCCACCAAGGGTTATTTGGCGATGTCTGGAGACATTTTCAGTTGTCACAACTAGACATCTGGTAGAAAGAGGCCAGAGTTGTGACTTAACTTCCTATAACATACAAGACAGCTATCCACAGCGACTATCTAGCTTAAATACAAATGGGACTGAGGCTGAGAAATTCTGCTTTAAGCCTAAGTGTGAGTTTTCTACAGGTGTTATAGTGGGAATATCTTGGTCAAATGATTTGGGAAATGTAAGCTATGAGTTTCCTAGGTATATTGGGTTGACTGGCCCCTCATTGTAGACATTTGAAATTAGCTTAGCCTCTAAATCAAATTAACAAGAAAATATATTGATAGCCTACTGTGCACAGCGATATTGTAGGCAATAGAGATATAGCAGGTTATGACACAGAAAGTTCCTGTTGTGACCAAGTTTATATTCTAGTTGGAGGAGGGGCAGTTAACTATGTAAATGTGTAACTGTGTGTAACTATATAAATGTGTGTCTAAGAGAGGTTTGAAAGGAGTGATAGAAGGCGCAAGGTACTATGAAGAATAAAGAAATAAAGCAGGGAGTGAGGATAAAAAGCATCAGAGAGGAAGTGGAATTTCCTCCAGTGGAGGAATATGGCCTCCCATGGAGGTGATTGAAAGCGAGCTCTCTGGCTTTTCTAAGGAAGAGAACCCAGGCTAAACCTAGAGGAACTGCAAAGTCCCTGGTGGGGCTCTTCTGACCCTTAGGCTACCCCTAAGCCCCTCTCCCATAGAGTCCTACAAGCCCACTTGGCAGTGGGGGGAGTTGGTTAGAGTATTGGAACCATCCTTGAAGTTATCTGACCATCAAAACACTGATGCCTCATGTTGGAGTCACGAAGGGAACTTAAAGAAATGCTGCTTTAGTGGTCTGTTGTTTTCTAACTCTTCCCCTTCCTCCACTCAAGAACTTTAAAAATCTGAAAGCTCCTGGGAATGGCCGGTCAGGACCAGAGTATGTTTGAAGAAGAGGGAAATGAGGAGTTGAGTAGAGATTAAGTTTGTGGGCCTCTGGTATGTTCTCTGCTGCCCAGTGGGCTGCATGTTTTGGGGTTTCTAGGCCTGGGGTGGTCCTTGCCTGGTGTGACGGTTGTGGACACGGGACATTTGGCACACACATTGACAGCTGAAAGCAGAACTTCCAAGCCTCATGTCATGAGTCTACCACAAGCTTCTGGCCTGGGGCTTAATTGCACCCTAAGAGAACAGCACTTGGAGCCTGTGAATGTTATCCAGTGGGCGGATGCTCTGTTTTCTCCCCACATTTGTGGCATTAAAGAATGTGAGGCTTTAATCTCCAGAGGAACAATTCTGTCTTTGTTAGAGAACAATATATTTCCTCATAGTTGTCTTCAGTACAGAGATGTGAAAGAGATGTGAAAAGTGTGGCCTTTTTCCCCCAACTTTTGCTTTTCAATCCCTTTAGGACACAGTGCTTTACACCTGGCAGCCAAGAACGGACACCACGAGTGCGTCAAGAAGCTCCTTCAGGTAAAAGGCAACTTGAAATTATGTGTCATTTCTAAAAGGTGACCTTATCCATGAAAAAAGAAATACCTCTACACACACACACACACACACACACACACACACTTTTAATACTGTCTCAGAACCCGGGTTTCCTACATAACCTCCTTATTGACAGGACAGTCAGGGAGAAGATTGTTTCCATAGCAACTCCCCTGGCAGTGAAGAGGATCCTAACCAAAATTTGGAGTGTCTTCCTAGGAATAGCCTCCTCCCCACACTTCAGTCAATTCTTTTTTTTTCACTTTTCTGCAGGATTTGTGACCTCTATGTAGTCAGTTTTTACAAACTGCTGGAAATCCCCGCCATACTGGATCTCTGGTGTCCTGGTATTCTCCTCTATACGTCATTAGTCAAGTGCAGCTCTTCTTGAGAAGCAAAATTTCAACCATTATTTCCTTGTATATAACTTGATGAGCTTTTAGTTCTTGATTCCTGTTTCAGTGTTTGGTTTTTACTCTTCTTTAGAATTATAAGCCAACTCCATGGTTTGATAACCTTGCCAGGAAGTTTATAATGATGCCTTAAGGTGATGACATCCATAAATCTATAAAAATGTATATTCAATGAACCCCTGATAGCAGTCCATACAGTTTTGTCCAGCTGTTGCTAGTCAAAATGCAAGCTGGCTGTTTTCAGGAACAGCAGAAAGCAATAAAATACATGTTTGGAGTACTGTCTGTTCTGACAAGCTGTTGTCTCAGCCCCCACAAGCACTGTTTGGGACCCAGCATCTTGCTTTAATTTGACTTTGAATCTCTAATGCAGAGCTGTGGTCACATCCTTTGACTTGTCTGCTCGGTTGATCACGTAGCTTCCTGTCTTGCATTACATGCTGCTTGCTACTGCCAATTCCAGGAATGTTTAATCTTAACAGGTCATTGAAGCAAAACTCAAGAAAAATAGAGCAATGTCTGTGGTGCTATATTATAGGGCTTCCCCTTGAAGACACTGAACAGTGAGCTTTTCTTACCTGCCTCCTCCGGGCCACACAATCTGAATAGATGAAGATCACTCTTTTGCCTGGGTGCTCTGCATGTATACCTTCCCGTGTGTGTGTGTGTGTGTGTGTCTGTCTGTGTGTTTCTGTGTGTTTTAAATCTCCATTCCCCTCCTAGCTTGGCTATCCAGACCTTGCATCTGACTCTGATTTTAAGGAAGATTTAACCTGACAAGCTGGAAGTCCTTGTGGGCAAGGACCAGATATTCTAGCCTCTAATGTAATTTTATATCTGGTTGTGCAAATGGGTTGGTTTTTCTCTGGAATCTTTGAAGCCTTTAAGCAGTTCCTTGTGCTGTTCTAAAATTAGGCCAGAGCTTGGTAAGTAGTAACTTGATCTCCATTCTTCTTACCACTAAAGGGCAGGCATTTCACTCTAAGGTAGTTTGATCTTCCCTCTTCCAACTTGCAAATTGTCTCACCAGTGTTCTTCCTGGGTAGTTATGCAAACATCAGCCTTCCTATTAGGTCACTTTCCTTGAACCCTGGACCCGTCTAGCCAGTTCTTCACCTCTTGGACATCCAGGCTCTCTGTGATGTGACCTCCTGGTCTCCTGCTCCACCCTCTGCATTTAGTGACTCCTTCCACCCTCTGCATTTAGCAACTTTTCTGAGCTCTCTAGGCCTTTGCTGTAATTGTCTGTGAGCTAGAGATATTTCCCCTCTCCAGTAAACACCAGTTAAACATTCTGTCTTCTCAAGGCAAGGAGCACAAACAAAGCTTTAGAGATTCTACAGATTCAAGTGAACTCTCCCCCTCCCCCTGAGTGCTGGCTAGTCCTCCTACCCTTTCATATACCAAATGGTCGCTGGGCAGTAAATATACGCATTGAACGTAAACTCACAGAGGAGTCACTATCTTGGTGGAGCTCACTGTCCTGCAAACACAGGCACAAACACACATTACAAATTGCAAAGCACTAAAGAGGAAGCCAACAGGGTACTGAGAAGTAGCAGTTCAGGGCAGCCTCATGGAGGAGATGATATTTAAGCTGAGATCCCTAATATGCAAAGTGTCAAGGGGAATGCATTCCTAAAATAGCAAGTGCAAAGGCCCCAAGGCAGGAAAAATACTCATCAGGGAGGAAAGAAAGCCAGTGCATGAGCCAGGGGCAAGGCAGGTGACCAGTAAATGTGTCACAGAAGGCAGGGCCTTGTGTGTTTGTGATAGGCAGACTGCAATTAATCCTAAATACAGTGTGGAACTGTTAAAGGTTTATAAGTAGACAGTGACATTCATAGTTCTAAAATATTATTCCTATTGTGTCAAGAAGTTATTCAGAGGAGAAAAAAACAGAACTAGGGAGACCCACAAGGAAGCTATCTTAGCTGTCCAGATAAGAAGGTGCTGGCTTAGACAAGGGTAGTGGAAACAAGAAAGAGAAGAGGTAGATCAGAGGTATGGTTTCTAGAAAGGATTGACAGGACCTAATGACTCATTAGATGTGGGAGGAGGAATAGAGGAAATCAGAGATGACTCCATCCATGGTTTCTGACTTGTTGACTAGATGGAGGATGGTGTGGTTCAGGTGTGGTAAACGATGGGGAGGAACAGGTTGGGCTTGGAAGAGGGGAAGTTTTGCCTTTGAAGTGCTTGTAAGACATCAGTGAAGTAGACGCAGTGGGTTATCAAACCTGGTGCTCACAGGTGACATCTGAGTAAGATTGCACATTCTGCCAGGTTGAAATCCTGGCCCTGCTGTTCACTGTGGCCTGATAAATTAACTTCTTTATGCCCTAATTCCTTTGCCTGAAAATGGTAATAGTAGCATCTATCCAGGGTTGTTAGGAACCGTAAAGCAATTCTTTGAACACAGTTGGGTGCATGATAGCTCTTACTTACACAATACTTATGTTGTTATTATTGGTAAGATGGACATTGGGAGTTCCTAGCCTCAACTTCTTGACAGAATTTCAAGCTGCAGGTGTGGATGAGATCACTAAGGAAGAGTGTTTAGAGAAAGAACAGTGAAGAGGCCCCAGGTTTTATGTCTGGCTGGAGGAGGAGGAGTGGTCAGAGCAAACAGAAGTTTTCCAGGCAGGGACTTGCATTGCTGAGAGGAGGACTATTTGATGAAGAGGGAATGGAATGCCACTGAGAGGCTAGTAAGAGGAGGACAAGAAGGCTATTGGGGTTGGAAACTGAAAGGAGGCTGGTGACCTCCGCTAGGTCCATCTCCATGGAGACACCCAACTCCATGGCTGACACTCAACTGCAGTGGAGTCAGGAGTGAATGGAAAGCAAGAAGCATCGACTGCATGTTGGCAATTCTTAAGAGAGCTGGTTTTATGAAGGGGGAAAGAGAATTAGGTTAGGCAATGGAGAGAAAGATAGGATCGAGGTGAGAGATGCTAGAGCATGTTTGTTAGCTGGCCGGGGCTGTCCAGTGGTGACAGAGTGATGAAGTCAGAGGAGGAAAGGGCAGGCAAAGCAGCAAAGGATCAATTGGCTGCCTAGGTCATGATTATTTGGTTAGTCTCCAGCGCCCCCCCCCCCCCAAAAAAAAGGCTGTAGGAGTACAGCAACTGGAGCTTGTTCCCTTCCTAATAAGACATCAGACCTTACAGGAAAAGAATGAACTGAATAAAATTCTTGCAGGATATTCTAATATACATATTTACTATTTTTGTCTTATAGTCTAAATGCCCAGCCGAAGGTATTGACAGCTCTGGGAAAACAGCTTTACATTATGCAGGTAACTTTCCTTCTCTTATTTGTCCTCTTCTGTCATAAGAAACACTAATTTTCCATTGTCTTTATTCAGGCCATTAACCTTACAATACTATTCCCAGGATTGTTTTCTGTCATCACTCCTAGACTTTCTCATTTTACTCAGTTTGAAAAACATGTTGAGCTTTACAAGGAACACACCTAAAATTCATCAGTTGCCTGCCACACAACCAGAAAAGGTTGTCATGGTTAACTTATTTTAACTAGGATTGAGGATGTAGCTCAGTAGTACAACGTGTGCACAAGGTTCTGGGTTCAATCCTCAGCACCAATTATTTAATTAATGTGTATGTACATGCAATTGATTTATCTATATGATTTAAATCTCTTTTTAAAGAGATAATCAGAAGTACTAGTGGATTCAGGTTTTCTGTGATATAGATTTTTTGATTTGGTGATCATGATGGACATCAATCAATTCTATTTGTCAATATTTTGTTTTAGCATCTGTCATGCAGCTGAAAGTGACAAACGTTGACACTGAGCTCTCAGGCAGTTAGGTGTAAAAATTCTTTTATTGATAATTGTGGAAAAGCTAAGTCTTATGAAAAGATAAAACAAATGTTTGCCGAAAGGTAGTTGAAAGTGACTGGCTGTACGTCCAGGTAACTCTGAAATGAAGCAGTAATTTTCAAATACCTCTTACTTACCTTCCTAATACCATTTCTGTTGAGTGCAGCTTGAGTGAATGTTTGATTCCAAATCAAACACAAACTTCTTAGAGGCGTTGATGCCCTTGGTTATGTGAGTAGCTTTGTGAGTGGATGATGTTTGTGTTTTCCCTCCCTCAGCGGCGCAGGGCTGCCTACTAGCTGTTCAGGTCCTCAGCGAACACAAGAGCCCTGTAAACCTCAAAGACTTGGTGAGTACCCGGTGGCCACTAGAGGTGAAAATGGACAGTGGTTTCTAGAGCATTCTGAGAGTCACTGAGACTTTAGGGACCCAAGTATCTTAAAATTTCTATTGCTTTTCAACCCAGGTCTTCTTCTGCAAAATGGTTTTCTGTATTATACCTCCATTGGTCCATAAATTATTAATTCATTTTGCAGCATGCACTTCTTTCCTGTGTATATTTGTTTCTAAATATATACATGTATTCTGCCATCAACCTGAATATGAATAAAACTTACTTTGTTGATTTGTAAAAGTAAGAAATAAGTCCAAATGGAAATTCTGATATTTTCTTTCTGTCCCCCATGTATTACCTTGGAAGCCTTTTGGTTAGAATTTTCCAACTTTGAAGACAGAAATATTTCTATCCTATTGTAACCTCACAGGGTTATTTAGAGAATAAATTTACATGCCTTCATGTACGATTACAGAGTTAAATTTCATGTTATAGCTTGATTGACATGTATGATGTAAAGTGACTCAATAGACTGTAAATAAATCCATATTCTGAGTCTTATTAGTAAGGGTTGAACATCCCTAATCCAAAAATCCAAAATCCTAAACACTGCAATTTCTGAAACTTTTTGAGCACCAACTTGATGCCACAAGAAGCCTGTTCCACACCATGAAACTTTGTTTCATGCACATAATTATTAATAATGTTGGATAAATTACTTCCAGACTATGTTTACAAGGTCTTCATGAAACATAAGTGAACTTTGTGTTTAAACTTGGATTTCATCCACAAGGTATCTCATTATTTATAGGCAAATACTCCAAAATCCAAAAACATCCAAAATCTAAAACACTATTACTTCATGACCAGAAAGTACTATAACTTTATAGAGACAATGCCTAGTATTTTTATCAGCTGTTTTCCTGCTACGCTCAAAAGACCTGATAAGAACACTTCGGGGAGGAAAATCTAATTTTGGGCTCATAGTTTCAGAGATCTTTGTTCACAGATGGCTTTGAGGTGGGGCAGAATATCATGGCAGAAAGATGTGGCAGAGGAAGGCAGCTCAGGACATGATAATGAGAAAGTAGGTAGAGAATGCTGCTTAATAAGGACAAAATATAAACCCCAAAGGCACGCCCCTAGTGACCCACCTCCTCTAGCCAGACCTTACCTGCATACCATTACCACCCAATTAATCCCTATTGAGGGATTAATGCACTGATCAGTTTAAGGCTCTCATAATCCATCATTTCACCTCTACACTTTCCTGCATTGTTGCACACACATGAGCTTTTGGGGGACACCTCATAACTAAACCACAACACTTGAAAATCTGTCTGAAATTGTACTATAAGACTTAATTCTGCCAGGTGTGGTGGCATAGCCCTGTAATCTTCCCTGTTTGAGAGTCTAAGGCAGGAGAATCACAAGTTTAAGGCCTTACCTCTTAGAGAGACCCTGTCTCAAAATAAAAATAAAATAAAAAGGGCTGAAAGATAGTTCAGCTCAGTGATAGAACACTAGTGAGGTCAATCCCAAGATAGAAGTAGAAGGGGGAAAAAAAAGATTTAATTGTTAAATAGCAATTGTACCTTTTTAAATCCCCATTTTTAACATAGGTTAGGAATATTGTGGTTAATCTTTTTTTCTTTTTCTATGTGAATGTTTTTAACTTAAAAATTACTGGTGACTTGCCTGTGGGGTATGTTCTCCCCACAAAAGACAGGATAATACATTTTCTTTCCCGTTTGTGTCATTTTTATGAGGCTCTCCTCAATCTGGATTACAGAAATACTTACCTATATGTTCTTGTATTTTTCTCATTTGTTTTATATTGCAATGTTTTCATTCTCAATCCATTTGATATAGTTTATATACAAGTTGGGGATCTAATTTTCTTTTTCCAAAAGGATTGCTAATTGTCATGACAAGTTAAGTAATTCTTTTTTATCCATCTTTTATCTTGTCTTGTGTTAATTTGTTATGTTTTGGCACTTATTAAAATTATGAAAGGTACGCCTTCTGAGAGGAGTAGAATGACAGCGAGTAGGTAGTTCACTGGGAAGAAGCTGCCTAGAGCAGTAAGTCCTTTTGAGCCATGTGGAGACAAGTCCTTCATTTCTCCAGAATCATTCTTCAGTACATGATACTCTTGCCTTAAGCCTGAACACATCTTGAGTTTAATACTTTTTCCTGTGATCACTCAGACTCAGTGACAGCTGAGGGAACAGGCAAGCAGCCCAAAAGGTAAGGCTTCTAGGGAAATGGTAACAGAGAAATTCTACAAGAGTTGGCCATGATGTAATGGTGGCCATAAAGGGGCCTAAAATATCATGATGGATCAAATATTACACCAGCAGTACAAGTCATGGGGGTACCTGGGGAAAGAACAAGGGTCTCTGTGATTCTGGCATTTGGTGTTAAAGTTAAAATCTAAATCAGAGTTTGTCTCCTAGGATGGGAATATCCCGCTGCTTCTTGCAGTACAAAGTGGCCACAGTGAGGTCTGTCGCTTTCTCCTGGATCACGGAGCAGATGTCAATTCCAGGGACAAAAACGGAAGGTATGCATAAACAGGCAAAAATCATGTGACTTAAGTGATGCTGACATTCTGAGTCTTTCACAATATCATAGCTGTATTTTGAATGGTTTGTTATAATGTGTTTTAACTTGTTTCTTTTTAAATTTTCTACCTTTTTGGTAATCAAGAATCTCTTTCCACTTAAAAATAATGTTTCCCAGACTCTGAGCATCATTGCTGACTGATGAAACCATTAAATATCAAAGTCGATTAAGCTATTTCTGTGTCTTTTCATGAAAAATAAGTAAACATATTGGTTACTTTTGAGAAGTCTTCACATTGTACAGGTTCTGTAAAATATTTGAGGTACAAGGGTAAGGTTTGTGGCAATCATTAAATACTATCGTTTTATATCAAACAGTACAATAGATTGTTTCTATGTTATTTGACTAACTATGGTTTAACATTTAAATTTAATTTGCAGTTTAAAAATAAATATACCACCTAATTTCATCTTGATAGCATTTCATTTTGAATTTCCCAGATGATTAAGTAAAGGTTCTTTTCCCTGTTTTCAGGACAAAGAATTTCCGAGGAAAGAGTTTTACATTTATTTAGCGCTAATTTTGTGTCTCCCTTTTCTTTAGAACTGCTCTCATGCTGGCTTGTGAAATTGGCAGCTCTACCATCGTGGAAGCCTTAATTAAAAAGAGTGCAGACCTAAACCTTGTAGATTCTCTTGGACACAATGCCTTACATTATTCCAAACTCTCAGAAAATGCAGGAATTCAAAGCCTTCTATTATCGAAAATCTCTCAGGATGCTGGTATGTGAAAGAAAATAGTCAATGTTGTTTTAAATTCATGTACTCCATTTCCCCCAAAGGATAAAGGAATTTGTGCAATATATATTTTATTATTCTTTTAAACATAGGCTTGAAGAAAAATGAAGTGTTAAATGTTGTGTATGATGTGTGTGTGTGTGTGTATGTGTGTGTGTTTCCACCCAAAGCAAATATGAAATATGAGTCATTATGGTTCTTATGGTAATTTTCTTTCACTTTTTCTTCTTTAGACTTAAAGACCCCAACAAAACCAAAGCAGGTATTTATCTTTTGGGGGTAGGGATGTTTTTTATCTTTGTTTATGAGTATTTGAAAATGTTTATAATAAACTTTATAGTTTACTAGAAATGTGATGATGACTACCTGGTGTGGTGGCATATACCTACCGCTGTATCCCAGAACTCAGGAGGCTAAGGTAGGAGGATCAAAAGTTTGAGGCCAGCCTCAGCAAATTAGTGAGACCCTAAACAATTTAGGAAGACCCTGTCTCAAAATAAAAAAAATAAAGCCAGGTGTGGTGGTGCATGCCTGTAATCCCAGCAGTTTGGGAGGCTAAGGAAGGATTGCAAGTTCAAAGCCAGCCTCAGCAAAAGCGAGGTGCTAAGCAACTCAGTGAGAGCCTGTCTCTAAATAAAATACAAAATAGGGTTGGGGATGTGGCTCAGTGGGTGGGTGTCCCTGAGTTCAATCCCCAGTAACTCCACCCTAAAATTTAAAAAGGTAAAAATAAATTTAAAAACAGTCTGGGGATGTAGCTCAGTGGTAAAGCACCCCTGGGATTAATCCCCAGTATCAAAAAGAAAATAGAAAAGTGATGATGACTATGTGGAAGATACTTAAGGAGTGCAATGTCTTTGGAATAAATGATTCATTATTATGAGGTGGTAAATGTTTTCTTAATGATTTACCTTATTTCAAAAGCATATAACTTTAAACTTGCTACCTATATATTCATCTTTTTCTGAAATGTACTAATGCTTCCCACTGGTGTGAAAATGTTTGATGTGGTTTAAACACTGAGACTGAATAACAATATTTTAGCTACTTGTAATATCACATGGACTACAGACCTATAGTCACAAAAATGCTAGCTATTTAATGAAAATAAGAGATTGAACTTTTCCTTTTATTTCTTTTCCCCCCTAAAATTTCACCTAGAGTTAAATGCTTGTATTATCATATGAACTACATACATAGGAAAATCTTAAATACTTAATGAAAATAAGACATTTAGCTTTTCCTTTTATTTTAATTGTTTTTCACCCTAAAATTACACTTAGTATTACTTGGAGTAGAAATTTAGACGTTTGCCCTGTTATTTTGGAGTTTTTCTAAAAAGCATGTTGTCACTATTAATTTAAGTTTGGTTGTTCTATTTATGTATACATCAAGGTTCTTAAAAAATTATAGACAACAAGTAATACTGAATATATTATGTGCTAAATGTATTCCTTACCAATAACTTTTAGAGATGAGGTTCCCCCTTTCCCTCATGTTTACTTTCTTTAAAACAAAAGGTGGGTGGTGGAAGTCATGCAGAGATGTGGGAAATCCTGGTGTTTTGCATTAAGATGGAAAGTACATGTGAATGTAATCTGGGTTCTGATTATGGTAGACAACTCTCGTCCTCTACTTTCCCAGTTTTCCACACCAACTTAATCTGGTTTTGTCTATGTTTTTAATCTTCTTGCTATGAAAGCATGGACTGCTAGAAGAAAATGTAGAGCATGCATATTACTGTATTTTTATGTTGATAACAGATTCCAGGTCTTGATGGATTAAGAAATGCATGGACTATAGAGGTTTTTCTCATTTGTTTGATGAAGCTACTTGCTCAAACTTTACTAACCTAACTAACCCACCTCCATTCTTTGGACTGTGATAACTTTCAGCATGATCAAGTCTCTAAAATAAGCTCAGAAAGAAGTGGAACTCCAAAAAAACGCAAAGCTCCACCACCTCCTATCAGTCCTACTCAGGTAAAAACCAAAGCAAACCAGCAATCAATAAGCAGAAAAACAACAATAGTTTCATCATTTTGCGTTTAGGTCACAAAGTAATGTTTTAGACCTGACCCTTAGCGCACATTTAAAATTTTCTTAAATTTTGTAGATTACAAATTGTGATAAGAAGTATTTTGATAATTAGTATGGAAACAATGTTGACTTTTATCTGTTTCAAAACTGGAGGATTAAATAGTATCTTTTTTAAAAGCCTCAAGAAATTTCTCAAAATCTTATGACAGGCCAGGCACAGTGGCACATGCATGTAATCCCAGTGGTTTAGGAACCTAAGGCAGGAGGATGGTGAATTGAAAGCCAGCCTCAGCAACTTAGCAAGACCCTAAGCAACCCTAAGCAACTTAGCAAGACCTTATCTCAAAATAAAAAGTAAAAAAGGCTGGGGATGTGGTTCAGTGATTAAATGCTTCTGGGTTCAATCCCTGGCACAAAAAAAAAAAAAAAAATTTAAAAATAATATTATGATAGAAATTTTTCTAAGATAATAATAAGTCAGCCTATTTTTAGTTCCTCATATTAACAATTCTAGTAAGAGTTAAGGGTAAGATAATGAGTAGTTAGTGAGGCAGTTAAATTAAAGTGAACTTAAGTTGGTTTCTTAAAACATTGCTAAAATGTGTTTTTCTAATTACATTTACAGTTGATTAATACTAAAAATAGTTTTATTTCTAAACTTATAAAAACTACTTCATAGAGAAGGAAGCACAGAAATCTGTGAAATGGCAAACAAAACAGGTTGGGGTTTATTGTTTAAAATCATGTCATGAAAAGAATAATCTATTCAAATAATAGAAATATCTCACTGATAAATAATTATAAATATATTTTAACATGAAATACTATTCATTAATACTATTCTCAGCCTATAATAGAAGTTTTATAGATTTAAAAAACTGATTCTAGTTAACATAGGAGCAAAGTTATACTCTGCAAAACTCAAAAATTATTTGATATAGCTGAATTGCCTGTGTTAACTGAAGCTAAGGGTACTTACTGAGTTTAGTTGCCTGGATGTTGCTTCAACAGCACTAGAAAAGAAAACACTTTGAGGACACATTCTTTACTGGTGGTTTTCATTTTCTTCTTTTAGTTGAGTGACGTGTCTTCCCCAAGATCAATAACTTCAACACCACTTTCGGGAAAGGAATCAGTATTTTTTGCAGAAGCACCCTTCAAGGTATTTCCTTTCTAGATTCAATTTTGTTCTTGTATTTTATGATACATCATAGACTTGCTTTAAGTTATATAACACTGGACAAATATAAATAAAGTAGAATATACTTCTCAGTCATTCGCTCACAATCTTTTCATCATGAAGGACCCCTTGATTATTTTTCTTGGCTTAGACACTGTAAAACAAGAATAGGGAGAATTAATTGCAATTACTAATCAATAATTTTCTTCAATAGGAAAAAATGGACAAAGGTTACTTATGGAATCCAAAAAAATAGAACTCATAAAAGAATACAATGGGGGAATAGGGAGTGGAGAGATTGGGGATATGTTGGTCAAAGTGTACATCTCAGTTCAACAGGAGAAGAAATTCAAGAGATCTATTGTACAATATGGTGGCCATAGTTAATAACAATGTGCTGTATTTTGGATAATTGCTAAGAGAGTAGATTTAAGTATTCTAATCACAAAAAAAATGATATGTGAGGTAATGCATATGTTGATTAGTACAATTTAGCTATATTATATACATATTTCAAGACATAATGATGTACATGGTAAATACATATTTTTTTCCTTTATTCATTAAAAATTAAATTAATTTTTTAAAAGGTGTGAAAGTTACTGGCTTCTGACTTGTAGTCACTCCTTTTATTACTTAATAAACATTATTTATGAAGTGGCAAACGTTACATTTTTTAAAAATTCTCTATGTACAATGCAATATCCTGTATTGGATCCTTAGATAAAGTATGTTAGTGGAAAAATTAGATGTGGAAGGATGTGGAAGAATTAGACTGCTAATATTCTGTTGGAGGAAATTACATGGTACAAACTACTTCAGAAAACTAATAGTTTCCTTAAAAGTTACACAAATACCTACAAGATGATACAGTCATCCACTTATGGGTGTTTAACCCAGGAGAACTAAAAGCATATCTATATAAAACATTATATATAGATGTTTAGAGTAGCTTTATTCACAGTGTTCCTAAATTGGAAATGACCTGAATGTGTATCAACAAGTGAATAATACAGATAATGAGATATATTCATATAAAATAATGTTACTCAGCAAAAATAGGAATGTGCTGCAGTGCAAGCAACATCATAGACAAATCTGAAAATCATCATGCTGAATGAAAGTAGTGAGCCACAAAAATATCCCCACTTTTTCCATTACATTCCATTTATAGCAGTTTTAGAAAATGCAAAATGGACAGGTTGCCTAAGAATGGAGTGGGTAGGATTAGCTGTGATAAATGCATGAGTAAACTCTCAGGGAAAAGGAAATATTCTAGATCTTGATTATAGTGTTAGTTCCATGGTTATACATCTGTCAAAACCCCTTCAGATTAGAAAATTTGAATAGTATATTATACCTTATATAGTTAAAATATGTACATTTTCTGGAAAAGGGAAAGGACAGCTTTTTATAAAGAGAAACATTTGCCAAAAATAAGCAACTTAATTTTTAGCATTTTGGCTTTTGCAAAAGTTCCTTTGCTGAAAAGTAATCTCTTATCATTGTCTAGGGTTCATCTAGATGAAACATAATAAATTTTTGGCAAGTTAATATAATGTTTTGAAACAAAAGCCTTGAAATGAGAGTTTGTCTTTGAAGTTCCAAGAATTTTTGTAATATATTAACAGATATTCAGGGACAGAGGGTTAGAGGAAATCTTTAAGGGATCAGTTGACAATCCAAGAGTATATGCATTTTTTCCCTTATAAAATTATCTTCTTATTCCTTTTAGGTCTTATTTATTAGCATCTCTTTTAGAAAGATTAATTAGATTAATACAGATAATTTAAAAAATGATTAAGCTAAAAACATCTACTTTTAATATACTTTAATGTATAACCCAGATAAATATAACTTCTGTTTGACATCATTAAGAAAGTAGTCTTTTCCATCTTATTTATTTAGGACATAGCCCAATATGTAAACTATAGCATGAAATTATTATAATTTTAAATATATTTGTGTTGTGCTCCCTAAATTATATTTCTGAAAAGTCTTTTGAAAATATGCACTCTGAAATTTCTAATATTTAAAAAGTTATACCTTAGTAGATAATTGCCATGTTTTCACTTGTAAAATATCTTCTTTCCTTCAGATTTTTTATTTTTCTTGTAGGATAACAGACTCTGCTCTCTGTAAGCTTAAGGAGGAAAATCTACCTGATTCTTTTGTGCAATGTTATATTTAGGAGTATTATTTTTTTTTTCTGCAGGCTGAGATTAGTTCTATACGAGAAAACAAAGATAGACTAAGTGACAGTACTACAGGTAAGATAAAGCAGCATCTGTTTTTGTTTCTTTGAACAAACTGTCTTTACTCCATGTCTCTTTGAACAGAGCAAAGACAAAGCCAGGAATAGCCTGTGGTCATAGAGCTGCCAATAATGCAGCTCTGGGCTTCAGGGGCCTAAACCTGGATTTTAAAAAATATCTAACTTTGGTATGTAAAAAAGTCCATTTCTGTTTTCACTTGTCCATAATTAAATGTTAGCATTTCATTCAATTATGAATATAGGAAATAAACACAGGGGTATTAGCAGACCAGTGACTTTATCACAAGAGAATTCCCTGCCAATTTCCTGTCACCTTACTGTTATTGCAGATATATTGGAAATTCATTTATAATATAGAAATCACTAGAAATCATGGCAGTTATTAGACCTGCTTTTGGATATTATTATTTGGTGTGTTACAAGATAATCTTATAGATTACGGTATATTTTATCCTATGCATTTAAAAACAGGCTGTAGGCTGTTAGCTAATAGCATAGAGCACTCATTGCAGCTGAGCAGCAAATTATATCATGAAGGGAGAAAACCATGCACCTCCATGACTGTCACAATGTAACTTTACCACTTAGATTTACAAGTAAACCACACAGTCAAACTGTCTTAACGAAGATAGGTTTAATTTGTTGTATCTTTTAAGAGTCCCTTCTAAAGAAGATGGAGATTCCTAAAGTTTAACTGAATCTATAAGAATGTAGTATGATTTCTTCAGAATTAATTTATAATAGAGTAGATGATTTCAAGGTTTCCCTTTAGCTCCAGCACTCAGTTTCTTAGAGTATTGTGCATTTTATATGAGTCTGGACCTTTGATTTGCCAAATTGAGAAATATTAAACTTTCAAATTCCTGGCAGAGATCAATGTTAATACTTTGAACAGGTTTTACATGGTTTACTTTTAAAACCATCCATTGTATCTGAGAAGTAACTTCTGTTGATTAGAATTGAGGTCATGCTTCAATTCCCAAGTTTATCACACCAGACTTTATCTTAGGAGGACTCACAAAACTCAGAGGACTTACCATACATCAGAACAATGCCTTATATCAGATGTAAATTTTTCTATGAAAAAACATCATTTTTTCGTCCATCCAAATTAAGATTAAAGTTTTCATCTCTGCATTGAATGGCTGTGAATAAATTAAAAGCATAATAGTAAAAAATTTAGATTTGTACTTTTCAAAGAGTCATCTATAAACTATTGCCAGTCGGCAATAATAAAAGAGTTTTCACCAGAAAGTCATCCGGCTATATCATCTTGTGCAACTGACGTTTTTTCATAGGAAGTCTTTCTGCATTTCATTTCGTTCTGAAGCTAGTTCCATGTCTTATCCTAGTGAACACTTTGAGTAGCATTGTTTCAAATACTATTCAGGCATGATAATCAGTATGATGCTAAAAAGTGTGGTTTACTAACTGTGATTATAGTGATTATAGTGTGATTTGGAGAAAATCATTTCATGCCAGGTGGTCAGTGAACGCTTTTAAGGAGGAGGTAAACTTTGATGGGGTTGTAAAGGATGCTCAAGAGTTATCTAGCTGGGTTCAGTGACGCACACCTGAAATCCCAGTGGCTCAGAAGGCTGAGGTAGGAGGATTGTGAGTTCAAAATCAGCAATGGCCAGGCACTAAGCAACTCAGAGAGACATTTTCTCTAAATAAAATACAATATAGGGCTGAGGATGTGGCTTAGTAGTTGGGTGTCTCTGAGTTCAATCCCTGGTACAAAAAAAAAAAAGGTATCTAGGTAAAGAGATGCAAGGACAGTCCTGTGGATAAACAAAGAGTCTGAGGAAATGGAAATTTAGGAAAGATGTAGTGAGTCATAAACCAGAAAAATAAGACTGGGGCCAGATAAAGAGGCCTTAACCCATATAAAGGAGTTTGGAGATTATTTTTGGAGGGAAACAAAGCATTTGAACCAAAGGAATGGCCTGACGTATGTTTTGGGAAGACTAATCTGACATTGTTGTTTTATTCTGGATCAAGTTCCATGTCTTATCTCAGTGAACACTTTAAGTAGCATTTATGTCCCTACATTTTTACTGGGGAGAATATATGGGGCATCTGAGTAAGCCATGTGCAAAGTTTCCGAGAAAGGTGATAGAAGTCTGAACTTAAGTAATGCTCTGGTAGGAATAAGAAATAAATCAGGTTCCAGAGATCTTTCTAGAAGAATTCACATAACTGAGACTTAATGAGGTACAGAGAGAAACCAGAAACCAAGATTAATCAAGTGAATGAATAATGCCCAAATCCATCAGTTTTATAATTAGCTTGATACACCTGTGCTACAAATACTATAGTCAGGAAATGCCAGTAATTTCTATTCATCTACCCAACTGGGGATGAGGAATGGTTATAGTTAGGACTTTGAAGAAGAACTGGTTAAGCCAGAAAGTGAGTTTGTTAGAAGTTAGAGAAACAGCAGTTTAATTTTTAAAAACATTTTAAATTGCCTTTCTCCTTTCCAAGGTGCCGATAGCTTATTGGATATAAGTTCTGAAGCTGACCAACAAGATCTTCTTGTGCTGTTGCAAGCAAAAGTTGCCTCCCTTACTTTACACAACAAGGAGTTACAAGATAAATTACAGGTAGCTAAATAGATTACTACCACAGATAATTCTGTGGAGTCAAATGGCTATATTTTGGGAGTGTACATAAGTTTCTTGGGTAGATAACAGTATTCTTCATTAATTCTATTTCTGTAAATTGGTAAATTTTATATAATTACATATATAGTTATATAATTACATATAAATTATTAACATTTAAATATAAATAGAATATATAAAAAATTTTACACAAATAAAATTTGTTTATAGATTCATTACATAGAATGCTATGAAAAATTGTGCATAAAATTTTATAATTTTCTATTTTTATACATTTAAATGTCTATATTTTAAAATTTAAACATTTTATATATACATGTGCATAAGTATATATATTTGTATATAATATTTTCCTTTCATTTTGTAAAGTTGATCATACAGTACTCTCAAGAACTTGATAGGAAATAGCTGTACTATGCCTATTGCCTCTCTGGGCAACTAGAATGATATAAGAAATAAAAATTTGAGTGGGAGGTTTTTAATAGGCAAAACAATTCCGGTATTTTTTTAAATGACACAAATAATCTGTTCTAATAGAGCACAGAATAAGCTTTGTGTTGTAAATCTGACTCTTATGTCCCAAACAATATATTTATTATGGTAAAGTAGTACACATGGAAAACGATCACCCAGCTCTCCTGTACCTAAATTTTAGACTTGTTCTTCTCACTCTGGTGCTTGTTCATTTAATTTAGTGCCGTTTAATTCCTGCTTTATTTCTCAGGCCAAATCACCAAAGGAGGCAGAAGGAGACCTAAGCTTTGATTCTTTCCATTCTACCCAGACTGATGTGGCCCCACCCCTGGGCAAACCTAGTGAGGCCTCTTCCCCAGACTCCAAATCATCTCCATCTGTCTCAATGCATTCTTTGGGGAAACCCACTCTTGACAGTGATGTTAGAATTCAGCAACTACAAGAGATTTCACAAGACTTGCAGAAGAGATTGGAGAGGTCGGAAGCAGAGAGGAGGCAGCTACAGGCTGAACTCCAGTCCCGAAGGACAGAACTGGTATGCTTGAACGACACAGAGATTTCAGAGAATGGCTCAGACCTCAGTCAGAAACTTAAAGAAACTCAGAGCAAGTATGAGGAGGCAATGAAAGAAGTCCTGAGTGTTCAGAAGCAGATGAAACTGGGTCTCTTGTCTCATGAGGGTGTAGATAGCTATTCACATCTCCATGAGCTGAAGGTCACAGACAGGGACATAGATATGCTAAAGCAGGATCTGCAGAACGCATTAGAAGAAAGTGAAAGAAATAAAGAGAAAGTGAGAGAGTTAGAGGAAAAACTTGTGGAGAAGGAAAAAGGTGTAGTGATTAAGGCACCTGTGGAAGAGTATGAGGAAATGAAAAGTTCATACTGCTCTGTTATTGAGAATATGAATAAGGAGAAAGCATTTTTGTTTGAGAAATACCAGGAGGCCCAAGAAGAAATCATGAAATTAAAAGACACACTAAAAAGTCAGATGACACAGGAAGCCAGTGATGAAGCTGGGGACATGAAAGAGGCCATGAACAGGATGATAGATGAACTCAATAAACAGGTAAGTGAGCTGTCGCAGCTGTACAAAGAAGCCCAGGCTGAGCTGGAGGATTATAGGAAGAGGAAGTCTCTAGAAGATGTAGCAACTGAATACATCCACAAAGCAGAGCATGAGAAACTGATGCAGGTGACAAATGTGTCCAAGGCCAAAGCGGAAGAGGCACTGTCTGAAATGAAGTCCCAGTATTCAAAAGTATTAAATGAGTTGACCCAGCTCAAGCAATTGGTGGATGCACAGAAAGAGAACTCTGTGTCCATCACAGAACATTTGCAAGTGATAACCTCACTGAGGACAACTGCGAAAGAGATGGAAGAGAAGATAAGCAGTCTTAAAGAGCACCTGGCGAGCAAAGAAGTGGAAGTGGCAAAATTGGAGAAGCAGCTCCTAGAGGAGAAAGCTGCTATGACTGACACAATGGTACCCAGGTCTTCCTATGAAAAGCTCCAGTCATCCTTGGAGAGTGAAGTGAGTGCATTGGCATCAAAATTAAAGGATTCAGTAAAGGAGAAAGAGAAGGTCCATTCAGAGGTTGCCCAGGTTCGAAGTGAGGTATCACAAATGAAAAGGGAAAAGGAAAACATTCAGACTCTTTTGAAATCCAAAGACCAAGAAGTAAATGAACTTCTGCAAAAATTCCAGCAAGCTCAGGAGGAACTTGCCGAAATGAAAAGATATTCTGAGAGTTCTTCAAGACTGGAGGAGGATAAAGATAAAAAGGTTGGTGAAATTCTGTTGCCATTGGGTTTCTGCTAATAGGTCCTAAGACCCTGAAGTTTTACTATATGAAACATTTATAGGATTTGTTGACACTCATCTATTGAGAATGCTTAGAGACTCTGTACATGATTACATCTGTCCCTTAAAGTCACACTAAGAACAGTATGTTGGAGGAGCCAGATGTGTTAGTATACACCTGTTATCCCAGCTACTCAAGAGGCTGAGGAAGGAGGAGCCCAAGTTAAAGGCCTGGTCAACCTAGACTCTATTTTAAAATTTTAAAAAGAGCTGGGGATGGAGCTAAGGGGTACAGTGCTTGCTTAACAAGTGCAAGGGCCTGGGGTCAATCCTCAGCAACCCCCCACCCCCATGCTGCCTGGCCAAAAAAAAAAAAAAACATATGCTAGATCTTGATTTTTAAAAAATACCAATCTTCTGCCACTTCCCTTTATATATATATTTTCACATATGTGGTACATACTTGTCCTTTAAAAATGATTTTATGGAAGCTCTGCCTGTTTGGGGGATCAGAAGTATCTGAAAGTGTATTATCTCTTAATACTTCTCTTTAAATCCAGGGTAGATTTCTCCATCATATGGAAATCCAAATACTCCTAGACTTAATCCTACTCCTCAAAGCTCCATGACTCCTCATCCCTGAGTCAGCATAAATATCAGTACTCTCTCTGGCCCCCATTTTCAAAGGTGTATAGGAAGAGAAGAGGAACATGGTGGGAGTAGGCAATTTCGAGATTGCACTGGATATGGTGCAGAGAAAGGAGGGGAGCAAAGAGTAGGTTCATAAGTTCATGATGATTTTGTACCTGCATCTGCTCCCCATCCCCAGTCCCACATGGTGGAGACTCTGAATTTATTTATAAGCACCATTTATCTTTTTGTAATGAATACTTCAAAAAGCACTTCAAAGACCTATGGAATGGGGAAATAGGGAGTGGTGGGGTGAAGTGGGAGGCTGAGTTTACTTCAAACCAAGATGTCCAGAGATATAAGGGCTCTAGGACTAATTCCTGATTGTCCATGTTAGCAACATTGGACAAAATGTAGTTGTCTTCAAATAAAAAATGTTTCTAATCCCAGTCCTGCTATTTTTTAACCACACTTTTTTTAAGGGTAAAATGAGGAAATTAGTATCACAGCTCTTGTTAGGCCCATGCACCAAAACAGTACGTAATTCAGGGGATTACATCTGAACAGAATAGATATAGAGAGCTTTGTTGATCTGCCTGATTATATTATCTGTTTCAGTTTGTGGGTTTCCTGTAAAAAATTAAAAAGAAATTGTTCCAGAATCTCAAGTTTCAGAGACCAAAAGATATGACTCTATTAGAAGCCAAGAAATATCTGGAATTTTGCTTCTAAAGACACATTAGATGCCTATTGAAACAGTTTTCCTTTTTCACTAGATAAATGAGATGTCAAAGGAAGTCACCAAATTGAAGGAGGCCCTCAACAGCCTCTCCCAGCTCTCCTACTCAACAAGCTCATCCAAAAGACAGAGTCAGCAGCTGGAAGCGCTGCAACAGCAGATCAAACAGCTCCAGAACCAGCTGGCTGTGAGTGGGCTTTCTTCCACTGCCTGTTTTGGGGTGAGGGCAGGGCAGATGACATACCAATTTAGCCATCAGGGCCAGGAGCCACAAACACAGACTCCCAGCCTAAAGGAATGTTGTACTTCAGTGAGCAATGAACTGAAGACTTCTTTGATGAGGGCAAAAGAGAGAAGCACAGGTGAAAGTCCCAATCATGGTCCATAATGAGATGGGTCAAATGCATTGTTGGGAAGGGAGAAATCAGTGGGAAGTTGCTGCTTATTCACTCATTCACTAACTTTCCACCACTTTTCTTCTTTCTGCAATGGTTGTTCTCCATCGATGGCAGTGGCAAGAGCCTTTTCTCATTAGGGGCCAGAATCTCTGGTAGTTGTGTATCTACACATACACAAAAACTGCTTCTTGGCCCCTCTATTTCACCTAGGAAAGTCCTTTCAATATCTGTATGGGTTTCCTATGGCCACTGTAACAAATCACCACAAACTTGGCTTTATACAACATGAAGTTAATATCTTATGAGTCTGGAGACCAGAAGTCCAAAATATGTTTCACTGGACTAAAGTGAACTTGTTGAAAGGGTTGATTCCTTCTTGAGGCTATAGGTCAAACGGCTCCATCTCTTTGACTTTCCAGCTTCTTAATGCCAACTGCTCTCCTAGGTTCCTGACCCCTTGCTGATCTTCAGAGCAAGTCACTTGAGCTGCTTTTATCCCCCTATCTCCTTCTTTTGACTTCCTTGCCTCCCTAATGTAAGGACCCTTATTTTTTACATTTAAAGCCCACTCATGTCATCCGTGAATATCTCTCTCTCCGTCTCTAAATTCTTAGTACCATCTATAATAGGCAACATTTACAGGTTCTGGGGATTATGATGTGGAAATTTTTTGAGGACCATTATTTAACCTATCACAATATCTGTTAAGGTTTTAGTTGACAAGGTACGTTACATTTTCTATAAGAAGTCAAGGTTAGTTTTCCATGGATTCTCTCTAGCTTCCTTTCACAAGCAGAAAATGGATTTGATTTCTTCATAAATTTAGCAGTGGGGGGGGGGGGGACACGTTTTCTACAGTCCTTACTCTTGCTGGCCACAAAGTACAAATCTAGCTCTTTATTAACAGTTCTAGCAATGGTGGAATCAGTAGGAGATGCTCCTTACTGGGTTCTGCAGGTTACTTTCCTGACAAAACAATTATTCTAGATTTGTAGATAAACTGCTGACTTATATAGTAATCCATACAAGTATTTAGTGTGTTTATTGAGCTCTCATGTATCAGTAGTGCATATGTCAATGATATAAAAATGAATAAAACACAGCCCCTGCTCTCTCAGAATCTGTTCTCAATATAAATTGGTATGGTAAGCAAGCATCCAGTTATAATAAAATGCCTAGCATACTGTGCTTATGGAGGAAACATATCTGCCCAACCTGGGTGAGTCATGAAAAGCTTCCTACAGGTGGTAATGCTTGCATGGATCTTGAAGGGTTGTGTAAGAACTCATACTTATTCAGCAACGACTGAGATGCATCACTTAGGTGGCCCTTGGCAATAGGCTGACAGTAGAAAAATGAATTAAGCAGATAGGTATCTGATGGGATCAAAGAGTCATAAAAGGGGTCAGAGGCAAGTAAGTTTGCTAGAAAAATAGATTGTGGTCACAGAGTGGGATGCTTTCATTTGAGATTTCAGAGGTGGTTATGATAGAGGCAGAAATATGACCTTGAGAGCAAGTAGCTAAAAGAAAGAAGAGCAAGTCATAGAAACTGAAAGACACAGATTTTAGATGGGTCATTCACTTAGATGTTGAAGTCAACAAAATGATAACAGAAGGGGAGATGGAAAGGAAGACAGTGATCAGAAGCTAAATAATTGTATGGAGAGAGCTGAGAGGTAAGAAGGAAACAACATAGAGAGGTACAGGCTTAGTGTCCCTAATCCAAAAATCTGAAATGTAAAATGTCCCAAAATCACAAATTTTGAGCACCAATTTTGTAGCATTTGTGATTTCAGATTTTCAGGTGAGGGGATGCTCATCCAGGAATGTTTATGCAAATACTCCAAATCTGAAAAAAAAAAAAATCTTAAATCCAAAACACATCTGCTTCTATCCCAAGGATAAGAGATTCTCAGTTTGTATCAAATGTACCTTCTTATGGCATGAACTTCAAAGAACTGAGGTTTCAAAGATTGTCCTTTAATTAAAAAAATAGCTCATATTCTAACACTGATAGGAAGGAGGTGAGAAGAGGTATTTCTGCACATTTGTAAGCTTCTGAAGTAATCTATATTAAATGGTCTCAATTTCCATGATGAAGTAGTAGAAAGGACCTCTTAGAATGAGAATACTTCAGGGAAGAGTTAGGATCCTGGATACATGTCACTGAGAGAAACCAGAGTTAAAATTCAACAAGGAGAAATAAATCCATCAACAGCTGTAGTGAGCAACCATTTGAGATTGCCTCCACAGTACACTGACAGCTAATAAATAAAAATTGCCAATAATTCGCCAACTGAGGAAATAATTTTTTGCATTTAATCAACTTCCTTACACTATTTACTATGAGCAAATGATATATATATATGCATGTGTACACAAATTCTGGTCTGTTTTTTAAAACTTAGGATTAAAATAACTTTTTACATAAAATTTCTTCTAAATTTGGCATGCCAAAATGAAATAGGCAGGTTTGTTTCTAAGAATATTATAATAATAAGTATATAGTGAACTCACAGCAAATAAGCTTCTTATGCTAGTGGAGGGAATCAGTTGCATAGTAGCTAATGGCTGTTTTCCCATGTTTTCCTTGTTGTTGTTGTTGTTTTTGTTCTTTAAAGATCTCCTAATAATGTTAAATTTTCTCTTTAGGATTGCAAGAAACAACACCAGGAGGTCATATCAGTTTATAGAATGCATCTTCTGTATGCTGTGCAGGTATGGTAACGCCTAGTGAAGTATCTGGACATCCTGAAGAAAAATAGCAGCAGGTGTTGCCAACACTCCCATCATTCAAACAAATAGAAGGAATAAGAATTAGAGGAGAATATTTTTCATTAGCAGGCTTTAAGATGCCTTTTTCTTTGTTTCAGATTTTGGGTCAAGAGTCTTGAACCTCTTTATTTGTAGCAGCCTCATCATAATGAGATGAATGAATTTGTGGCTGCTGTCCCCCATCAAGAAGACCAGAATTTGTTTTCCAGGCATGCAGATATTCCCAGAGTCCTAGGCACTGCCTTACCCCTGCCTTTGTTGATGTTCATTTGCAACTGAGACCCTAGACACCCTTTGCTGAGGGCTTTGGCAGACCCAGCCTCATCCTCCTCCTGATGGATAAAAGCCATCCTCTTTGACTCAGTCCTCACAGAAATGTGGGAAAGATAGGGCTGACATTCCTCTGAGAGTTGAAGGGAATAAGCCAAGGCCTTCAGCCAGCCAGCCCTCATTCCTAGGAGAGGAAGTGCCATGACTTAATAGAGGTTCTAATGAATGTCTTTTGTGTGAATTTCTAGGGCCAGATGGATGAAGATGTCCAGAAAGTACTGAAGCAAATCCTTACCATGTGTAAAAACCAGTCCCAAAAGAAGTAAAGTGGATTCCTTGAGAGAACACTGCCCCCAGTTGTTGGCAACCACTGCCATCGTTCTCATTCGTGGTATGCACTGTGACCTAGCATAGCTTCTTCCCTTTCCAAAGGATTCTGAGGACAAGTCCCCAGGAAATGTGTCTCCTCCTCAGAACTGCTTAGAGACTTCAGACCACAGAGGTGAAAGTCCATCATCCCTTCAGATTCCAGAGCTGAGACCAGCTACACCCAGAGGTCTGGTCCTGATGTTGGTGGGTAGACCCCTTAACCAGCTGAGTGGCTTCATCACTACTGAGTGATCCATTGAAGACTCCACGCAGTGAATGTTTCTTCAGTTTCTCTTTGGGCTGTGCCAATCAGCAGAGGAGAGCTCTTTTAGGCTTTGGTTTCCAATTTCAAAACATGATTTAATTTCTAACCAAATTCTTATGGCACTAGTTAACAAAGTGCATGCTTAACACCCTTTTTCATAATATCCTGTGGATTTAAAATCTCTAATTCCACCTTCTCTCCCCTCAAGCTGCCTTATATATCTCCTCACTCTGCTTATCAATTTCAGTTTGATGAGCACTATTAACTAAAATATGAAGTTTAAAAGCAAAAGCAAACTGTCCTTAAAAGTTTTTATAAGCAAATCATTGACATATTGCAAATTTTCTATGCAAACTTGCCTCCTGCTGTTACCTGTGAAGCTCAGGAAATCCAAACATTTATGTTTCAACAAGGGACAGTAAACTGTGTGTTTACAGCCAAAAGAAATGCCTCATAGTACTTAACCTCAATTTTTTAAAAAAGTGGGGTTTTTTTCTCTATAATATTTTTATTGGCTCTTTAAGATGTTTTCATATCTAAGCCCCTAAATAAGTGAAATTACATTAGATTATATTAACAAACTATTTTTTAGGTAACCATGCTTAAGACTTTTTAAAAATATAACTTTTCCTCAAAGTTTTCAGCTATAGCAAAGATAGTCTGTATTCCCAACTACCACCAATACCCCTAGGACTTTCTGCCACATTTCCTCAGAGCTGCAGTGCATTTCTGAAAATAGTAAATCCTCTTTTTACCCGTTGAATATTTGTGAATGTCCCAACTCTACAAGTACCCATAAACTGTCTCTGGAAGGACTGTTAGTACCAATCAGTTTTCCAGCTTTGAAACTAAAAATCCTGATATGGAAACATGGTGCATAGCAAAAGTCTTGGGGGAAAATATTTCTGTTCACTTCACTTTCAGGATAAAAATGTTTCTTACTTGCTTGCAGCTTCTCTTATGGCATTGATCTTAAGGGAGAAAAACAGAACACAGAACTTTTAGTCTATAACTAAAAGTGGAGGCCTGTTTTGACAGGGCCCACTTATCACAGGGCTGCCTGGGCTCAGGGGGCGTTCCGCTGAACTGGATGATATGTTAATCTGTATTGAATAAGGACCAACAACAGCAAAACAAAAATGGCTTTAAAGCTTGGTGTTGTTACTTAATTCTTAAGTTGTTTAATTATAGTTAAGCAATTTCAAAAATGCTCCAAAGAAATGTGAAAGGACTTTTTGTCACAGCACTTAAGAAAATACAAAACAGCCCCTGACATGTCCCCCGCACAGAAATGCTGCAGAGTATAAAACTTGAGACATTTTGTAGGATGCCTGACAAAGTGTAGCCTTTTATCTTGTTTCAGGATGCATATTTATTACAAGTACTCTGGTTAAATATGAAAAGTTATATGCTGTAGTTTAGCATTTTGTCTTTGTAATTTGCAGAAATTACTGCAGAAAATAAACTTGTTTCATTTTGCAACTCTGTTGTTTTGGTGTCTTCATAAACATACCTATATCTTCTGATCAGTTCAACAGCATTTCAGTGAGGTTTTTCTATTTTGCACGATGCTCAGATGGTGGGAGCTGTCCACACAGCCTCAACTCATTCTGTCTCCCAGCTCTTGTTTTCATCCTGAGCCTGCCCCAATTATCAGAAACTTTGGGGCAATTATATCCTCCTAGTCCTTTAATTCAAAATTGCCTCTTGTTTGCTCTGTTGCCTTTTTATCATGGAAGCCTCCACTAGATTCCATCACCCTACACCCATGTTCTTCTTTAAAGGTAATAATGCTTTAAAAAATTCAAATACATTCTCCTACCCTAACAAGGATAACTCATTCTTGAAACAACTCTTGTAGAATTTATTCTTGCAGGTTAAAATCACAAATACCAACGACAGTGAAATAGGTGCAGCTATTTGAATAATAAGTATTCTCTTTTTTTTGGTGGGGCTTTTTTGAATTTTTTATTATTTTTAGATATATATGACAGTAGAGTATATTTTGACGTATTATACATGCATGGAGTATACTTTGTTCTAATTAGGATCCTATTCTTCTGGTTGTACATGATGCAGAGTAACCCTGGTCGTGTATTCATATACGAACATAGGAATGCTCTGTCCAATTTATTCTACTGTCTATACTATTCTCATCCCCCTTCCTTTCCCTTTATTCCCCTTTGTCTAATCCAATGAACTTTTATTCTTCCCTCCCTCACCCTTATTTTGTGTCAGCATCCATATATCAGAGAGAATATTCAGCATTTGGTTTGGGGGGATTGGCTTATTTCACCTAGCATGATAGTCTCCAGTTCCATCCATTTACTGGCAAATACCATAATTTCATTCTTTATGGTTGAGTAATATTCCATTGTGTATATATACCACAGTTTCTTAATCCATTCATCTGTTGAAGGGCATCCCAGCTGTTTTCATAGCTTAGGTATTGTGAACTGAGCTGCTATAAACATTGATGTGGCTGCACCACTGTAGTATGCTGATTTTAAGTTCTTTGGGTATATAGCAAGGAGTGGGATAAATGAGTCAAATAATTCCATTCCAAATTTCCTATACTCTTTTCATGTGATCACACCAATTTGCAGTCCCACCAGCAATGAATGAATAAACCTTTCCCCCTATATCTTTGCCAATATTTATTATTACTTGTGTTCTTGGTAATTGTCATTCTGAGTAGAGTGAAGTGGAATCTCAGTGTAGTTTTAATTTGCATGTCCCTAATTGCTGGAAATGTTGAACATTTTTTCATATATCCATTGGCCATTCGTATTGCTTATTATGTGAAGTGCCTGCTCAGTTCCTGAGCCCATTTATTGACTGGGTTATTTGATTTTTTTTAAGTTTTTGAGTTCTTGTATCCTGAAAATTAATGCTCTCATTTGCAGGTGGCAAATATATTCTCCCATTCTGTAGTCTCTCTGTTCATGTTCCTGATTGTTTCCTTTGCTGTGCAGAAGCTTTTTAGTGTGATACCATCCTACTTATTGATTCATAATTTTATTTCTTGCACTTTAGGAGTCTTATTTAGGAATTCGGTTCCTAAGCCAACTTATAGAGTTGGGCCTATATTTTCTTTAAATAGGCACAGGGTATCCAGTCTGATGCATAGGTCCTTAATCCATTTTGAGTTGATTTTTGTGCAAGGTGAGAAAAAAGGGATTAAATTTCATTCCTCTACAAATGGATTTCTAGGTTTCTCAGGCCATTTGTTGAAGAAGCTACCTTTTCTCCAATGTATATTGATGGTACCTGTGTTTAGGATGAGATAACTGTATGTATGTAGGTTAGTCTCTGTGTCTTCTTTTCTGTTCCATTTATGTCTGTTTTTGTGCCAATACCATCCTGGTTTTGATACTATAGCCCTGTAGTATAATTTAAGTTCAGGTATTGTGATGTCTCCTACTTCACTTTTCTCACTGAGGCTTGCTTTGGCTATTCTAGGCGTCTTATTTTTCTAAATAAATTTCATGACTACTTTTTCTATTTCTATGAAGAACATCATCCATATGGCCATTTTGATTATATTAATTTTCTGCCTAACCAAGAACATGGAAGATCTTTCCATCTTCTAAGGTCTTCTTCAATTCCTTTCTTTAGTGATCTGTAGTTTTCATTGTAGAGGTCTTTCACTTCTTTTGCTAAATTGATTCCCAAGTGTTTTGTTTGTTTTTGTTTATTGTTGTTGTTTTTTGGGAAACTACTGTGAATGGAATAGTTTTCCTAATTCTCTTTCAGCTGATTTACCACTGGTGTATAGGAATGCAGGAAGACATAAAAACTTAAACATACTTCCAAGCAATGAAATTGAAGATGCCATCAAAAGCCTAACATCAAAAAAAGCACAGAAAGATTCTCAGCTGAGTTTTACCAGACCTTCAAAGAAGAACTTACACCACTCACTACTCCTCAAATTATTCTATGAAATAGAAAAGGGGGGAACTCTTCCAAACTCATTCTATGAAGTTAGTATCATCCTGATGCCAAAACCAGAAAAAGACACATCAAGGAAAGAAACCTTCAGACCAATATCCCTCATGAACATAGATGCAAAAATTCTTAATAAAATACTGGCAAACTGCATACAAAAACATAGTAAAAAGATAGTGTACCATAATCAAGTGGGGTTCCTCCCAGGGATGCAAGGTTGGTTCAACAAACAAAATCAATAAACATAATTCATCACATCAACAGGATAAAAGACAAGAATCACATGACTATCTCAATAGATACAGAAAAAGGTTTTGATATCATGAAGATTAATGCTCTCGTGTGCAGGTGGCAAAGATATTCTCACATTCTGTAGTCTCTTTGTTCATATTACTGATTGTTTCCTTTGCTGTTAAGAAGCTTTTTAGTTTGATATCATCCTATTTATTGATTCTTGATTTTGAGTATCCCTTCATGCTCCAAATACTGGAAAAACTAGGGATAGTAGGAATATACCTCAACACTGTAAAAACTATATATGCTAAATCCAAGGTCAGCACCATTCTAAATGGAGAAAAACTGAAAGCATTCCCTCCAAATATAGGAACAAGACAGAGATGCCTTCTTTCACCACTTCTATTCAACCTTGTCCTTGAAACCCTAGCCAAAGCAATCAGGCAAAAGAAAGAAATTAAAGGGACACAAATAGGAAAAGAAGAGCTCTAACTATTCCTATTTGCTGAC